GAGGTAAGCAGGGCTGCAGATATCTGAACACCGTATGCCATATGTAAGGAATTAATGTTCAGAATATTTGGAGTCATTGTTGTGAAGTTTTGCTAGAGAGTTTTACAATGAAATTCTCCATTCATGTCAACAAACAGAAGTAGACACACAAAAAACAACAGTTTTAGTTGTCTTCTCGCTGGACAAGAGACAGCATAGGTCAGTCGTCTCAAAAAGCAGAAAAATAAATGTGGAGAAAACTCATCTTTCATGTTTTTTTCACAGAAGAAGGTGCTTCAGGAAGTCACAGAGTCATGAGCAGCTTCACTGAGACAAGGGAGCAGAGACTTATGCCCAGGAAGTGGCACTAGGTGGAAAACTAGAAGGACTCTGTCTAGACAGAACTCTTCACTCATTGTTTAGGTATTCCCCTGTATAAACTCAATTTTTGCAAGGCCAGACAATGGGTAAATTGAGAGCAGTAATAACCAAGCAGTTTTCAGAATTTACATGGTGCAAAAATCCAGCCAGAGTTCAGATTTTTTTTTTTTTTTTTTTTTTTTTTTTTTTTTTTTTTTTTTTTTTTGGTTAGGCTGGCCTCGAACTCACAGAGATTCATCTGCCTCTGCCTGCTAAGTGTTCGGATTAAAGGCATGCACCGCCACAGGCGCCTGAGTGTAGAATTCTTGATGGTCACATGGGACTTTACATAGAGACCCTGGCTAGCTGCAAATGTGCAAAGTTAGAAAGTCTTCGTGTTCTCTGCCTTCTGGTCTACCTCAGGGAGCATGCTAGCCTCTTAATGCTGAAGCTGGTTGCCTTAAATAGCAAAATGTGCTTCTATGACCCTAATGTCCCATCACTTTGAGGAGGAAGTCCTGTTCTGAAAAGAAATCAAAAGATTATATTCACTCTTGTCTACCAAGAATGATTTTTTATAGAAATTATTCACAGGCCAAACAGATGTTTCTATCATTTTTTATCTTATTAAAAATACTTTTTCTCACATAACATATTTTAATTATGGTTTTCCCTCCCTCTGCTCTTCCCAGTTTCTTTTCACAGCCCCTCCAAAATGGATCTAATCTCTATCACTCATTAGGAAAAAAAACAGGTTTCTAAGAGATAATAATAAAATAAAACATAATAAACAAAATATTATAAGGTAAAACAAAAACTAACACATCAGAATTGGACAAAATCAACAAACAGAAGGAAAATAGCCCAAGAGAAGGCAAAAGAATCAATGATACACTAGGTTGCACACTCAGGAATGCCATAAAAATACTAAACTAGAAACCATCATATATATATATATATATGAGAGAGAGAGAGAGAGAGAGAGAGAGAGAGAGAGAGAGAACCTGGTGATGACCCATGTCCATGTAGGCCCTGTGTATGCTGTATCATCTTTGTGAGCTCATTTGAGCTTTGCTCATGTTGATTTAGGGAGTCTTATTTTGTGTGCACATATGTCCTCCAACCCCTCTGGTTTTTACACTCTTTCTGCCTCTTCTTCCACAGGGTTCTCAGAGGCCCGAGGGGAGGGATTTGATGAAGACATCCCAGGTAGGGCTGAGTGTTAAGTTTCTCATTCTCTGTATAATATCTGTGGATCTCTGCTCCTATCTGCTGCAGGAAAAAGGTTCTCTCATGACATCTGTGCAGGGCATGGATTGATGAGTGTAGCAGAATGCCAATAGGGGTTATTTTATTGCTACAACTTTTTCTTTTTTCGAACAGTAGTATTTGGTTTTACCATAGGTCCTTGAGATACTTAGTCTCAGTATTTTGATCATCAAAAAAGTGTCAGGTATGGATTCCATCTCATGGAGTGGGCCTTAAATCAAATCAATATTGGTCGCTTACTCCCACATGCTTTGTCCACCCTTGCCCTGGCATATTCTGCAGTCAGGACACCATTGTAGATCAAAGGATCTGTGGCTGACTTGGCGTTTATGTTTCTATTTGGTAGCCTGCAGAGTACTACAGACAGTGGAGCCTAGGTCTGAAGGCTCTGTGTAGGCACCAGCTTAACATCTCTGTGTTCAATGAGTTGCACAGGTGCTGTCTCCAGTGATGGAGCCTTGCCATCAGTTTATGGAGAACAACCTATAGCCTGGGTTGTTTGGAGATTTCCATGGGAACCTTTTGACCAACAACTCACTTAGATTTTTCATAGAAATTATTCTCAGGAAAAGCAGACATGTGTTTCTATGTTCCTTTACAGAACAGGAACATGAGATGATTCCTGTGAGTAGCAAAGCAGAAGGGATTTGTGTGCTGGTCGGTTACAATTATCATTTGCTGCTGGGAGTTTGGCCTAGTTTTCTACTTATGTTGTAATTCTTCCCCTAAGCTCTTCAACCTATACCTCCAAATATCCTTTACAAATGACAGCAACATTAAGAGGGGGAAATAACAATGATGTCTACAATGATTATCAAAGTGAGGATCCAGAAAGATAGGTAGGGCCTATCTCTACCACCCCCACCCCACGTAAATGGGGTCTGGATGCTTTATGATGGAATCTTCCCAGCCCACATTCTCTACCTTCTGTGCTGATGGAATTCAAATGGAAGAAGCAGCTGTCATTTGTTTCTTTTATGAGATCTCTTTAAAAAATATTCAGCTCTTGAGATTCAGTTCATCTCAAGATGCAACACTTTAGGGGGTCTAATCTCTAACCATTACTTACCATACATTGTGCAAACCCAGCCCAGAGTCTTAGAAACTTGCTGCTGTTTCTTATGCTGCTGCCTAGTAGAATTTACAAAGATCAGTTTTTGCTTTTTGTCTTCCCCTTTACAACTATTTTTATTATTTATACTGCTAGGGTTATATCCATGGGATATATACATGACAACAAATACTTCTGCATACAATGAAGAAAAATTATAATGATGCCTTTAAAGATAAAGCAAGAAATATGTTGTTCCATTTTAATAGATTTTAAACCAGGAGGCAAATGGAAGGTTGGTCATTTATTATTTTTAAATATTTTATTTGGTGTATTTGTGAACACACTCATAGTCATGCTGTGTGTGTGTTTTGAGATGGGAGAAGTTATTGCATCCCCAAACAAGAGCATCAGATCCCGTAAGTCTAGAGTTACAGCCAGTGTGAGTCACCGGATGTGGGTGCTGAGAACTGAACTTGGATCTTTTTTAAAAATGGGAAGCATTCACAACTGCTGGGCCATCTTTCTACATGTTTTTGCCTGAATGTTATTTTCTGCGTGTGAGTGCAAAAGAGACCAGCATCCGGTACAGCTGGAGTTACAAGACATTGTGTACATCGGATGTGTATGGACTGAATTCTGGTCCTCTGGAAGAGCAGTATGCAAGCCTAGTCACTGACTATCTCTACAGACATCCACCTCCCAGGTCTGTCTTAATTGTTTAGCAAAGTGTTCAGGGGTTTTCAGTTCTCAATGCAGCACATTGGATGCACATTGCTGTTTACCGACCTTTTTCTTATTTTGTCCCTGACATTCATGCGTGCATTATGCCCGCCAAAGACACTCAAAGACACACAAAACCCTACTTTGCATTGATAAATCATCAGTAAATAAACACTTTTTTTTCTATTTGTAGAAAGCCTTTTGTTCAACAATTTCAATCACACGCTCTTTTCCAAAACAATCAAATTTTTGGCATGCTGCCCTAAAAGTTACTGGTTGATCTTATTTCTCTGACAGACTTTTCTAAATTGGGGAAATAAAATGATTTCTCATTGATTTGTTTTATTTATTAAGCTAAGTGATATTTATGGCCATATTGGCTAATTTTCCATTATTAAATGATGATGTATGCTTCATACTTCAACTATCACTGATTGTACACTTTAAAATATATTTTAAAGAATTAAAACACTTAATGAAAATAATAACTCACATATATATCACTTTCCAGACATCTTAAAATATCAGATTAATTTATAAAAATTTCACAAATAATGTAGGAAGCGTTATTTTCTATGTACTACTAAAAAACCCATATATTCTCACAGAATGACAGGAGAAATCCACACTTGTTATCAAGGGTATTAAATTCCCAAGACCAATTTCTTTACTTAACAAAACTGACCTTTAAAAATGTCAAAAACTTAATACCTTAGAAAATGTTGTGCCACAATTTAAATGAGTGGAAGAATTTGGGCATTTGGAAGACATGCTAAGTAGCTTTTCGTTCTCTCATTTCCTCCCAATAGGAGCACTGCCTCACAGTTCAGTTTTATACTAACGTGCTTTTACCAGCTATGTAGGTTGGATTTCTTTAACCAAAATAATGGTGAGCTTCACTGCTGTCTCGACAGCTGCCCTTGGTTGGTTCCTAGAAGCTGAGATTATTTCCTATTGTCTATCTTCTTTAAGGCCTGTGGTGGTTTTTTTTTTTTTTAATTTCTCTTCTTTCATTTACCTAAAGAACTTATTCAACTTCAACAGTCCTTCACCAGGTCGTAGACTCTTTTCTGTCATACTCACTTTATTTATATTAACACTTGCCCTTTAAAATTGAGGCACCAGGGCCGGAGAGATGGCTGGGTGACTAAGAGCTCTGGCTGCTCTTCCAGCAATACTCAAAAACTGCAGCCCACAGTCATCTGTAACTTTAGTTGCAGAGAATCGAAGGCCTCCCACACAAGTAGTGGACAGACATACAAGCAATCAAAACACCCATACAAGCAAAAATAAAATGGTTTTTAAAAACTCGCAGTGTTAGGTGAAAGGACACAATAGTATCTAAAATATTTTCCCCAAGGTATGATATATGGGTATGAGAACATCTATCACGTTTTGAACTTCTGACTCAAGGACATGTAAAACATTTAATTATTTTTAATAACGTTGATCCTGAAAAGAGGAAAAGCAGACATTAAAATTCCGGGGCTGGGGGCTGGGACATTGCGACACTGCGCGAAACAAAGCTGATGTGCGTGCACAGCGGCTGGCCAGTGGCGCATGCGCAGAATTTCCTCAATGGTCGCTGGCCAGGTTAAGGGTCACTGAGGACTGAGGACGCTGAGCTTCTTGCTCTTCGGCAGCCGACTAGCCTGCAGCCATGGCCTTGACTAGAGATGCCAAGCTGGAGTCAGACACCTTTCAGGTGCTTCAGGACGTGGCCAATCGCCTGCGAATCCACTCAATCAGGGCCACGTGTGCCTGCAGCTCCGGCCATCCCACATCGTGCTGTAGTGCGGCAGAGATCATGGCTGTCCTCTTCTTCCATACCATGAGGTACAAACAGGCTGACCCAGAACACCCCGACAACGACCGCTTTGTCCTCTCCAAGGGCCACGCTGCGCCCATCCTCTATGCGGTTTGGGTGGAGGTGGGCTGTATCTGTGAATCGAACTTGCTGAGCTTGCGAAAAATTCACTGCGACCTGGAGGGACATCCCACCCCTCGACTGTCGTTTGTTGATGTAGCAACGGGGTCCCTTGGGCAAGGACTGGGTGCTGCCTGTGGAATGGCTTACACCGGCAAGTACTTCGACAAGGCCAGCTACCGCGTGTTCTGCCTCATGGGGGACGGTGAGTCCTCCGAAGGCTCTGTCTGGGAGGCCTTGGCCTTTGCTTCCCACTACAACCTGGACAATCTCGTGGCGATCTTTGATGTGAACGGTTTGGGACAAAGCGGCACAGCACCCTTAGGGCACAGTACAGCCATCTACGAGAAGCGCTGCCAAGCGTTTGGGTGGAATACTTATGTGGTGAATGGTCACGATGTTGAAGCTCTCTGCCAGGCCTTTTGGAAAGCAGCTCAAGTCAAGAACAAGCCTACTGCCCTGATTGCCAAGACCTTCAAGGGTAGAGGTATTCCAAATGTCGAGGATGCGGAAAATTGGCATGGAAAGCCTATGCCAAAAGACAGAGCTGATGGGATTGTCAAGTTAATTGAGAGTCAGATACAGACAAACCGAAATCTCACACCAAAGCCCCCTGTGGAAGACTCACCCCGGATCAGCATGTCCAATACAAAAATGACGTCTCTGCCTGCTTACAAACTGGGAGACATGATAGCTACTCGAGAAGCATACGGCTTGGCTCTGGCAAAATTGGGCCACTCTAACCAAAGAGTTATTGTTCTAGATGGCGACACAAAAAACTCTACCTTTTCGGAGGTATTCAAGAAAGAACACCCTGAGCGTTTCATAGAGTGCTTTATTGCTGAGCAAAACATGGTAAGTGTGGCCCTGGGGTGTGCCACACGAGGACGAACTATTGCTTTTGTGAGTACCTTCGCTGCCTTCCTGACTCGAGCCTTTGATCAGATCCGAATGGGAGCCATCTCTCAAATCAACATCAACTTCGTTGGTTCCCACTGCGGGGTGTCTATTGGAGAAGATGGGCCTTCCCAGATGGCCCTGGAGGACCTAGCCATGTTCAGAAGCATCCCCAACTGCACTATTTTCTATCCAAGTGATGCTGTCTCTACAGAACATGCCGTTTATCTGGCAGCCAACACCAAGGGAATGTGCTTCGTTCGTACCAGTCGCCCCAAAACGGCAGTTATTTATACACCCGAAGAAAACTTTGTGATTGGACAAGCCAAGGTGATCCGCCAGAGTGCAATCGACAAAGTGACAGTTATTGGAGCAGGGGTTACTCTGCATGAAGCCTTAATAGCTGCTGACGAGCTTTCTCAACAAGGGATTTCTATTCGTGTCATTGACCCGTTCACTATCAAACCTCTGGATGCTGCCACCATTATCCAAAGTGCCAAAGTCACAGGTGGGCAGATCATCACCGTGGAAGATCACTACCGAGAAGGTGGCATTGGGGAAGCTGTGTGTGCAGCCATCTCCAGAGAGCCGGACATCGTCGTTCATCAACTTGCCGTAACAGAAGTGCCTCGAAGCGGGAAACCTAGCGAACTACTGGATATGTTTGGAATCAGTGCCAGGCACATTATAGCAGCTGTGAAAGATACCTTAACTAAATGAAATAGCTCACTTCTTCAGACATCAAGGTTGTTGGCTTTGGTCTTAAACTCTGATATCATTGTGTTACATTTATGCTTGTTGTTATAAAAAGCATCTCTTATATTTATATAGTTCTGTTTTTCAAGTATCACTATGTAGCACCTTTACTTCTAATAAGAAAAACAAAACAAAACACCCGCGAGCTAACTTTCTGTTAAATTAACAAATGTCACTCTTGTTTTATAGTTGTTACGGTGAGTTATACATTTTTAAGTTTCAAAATAGACAAAAGTAATTACAAAGTTTTATGACAATATTCTAAATAATTAACTGGGATGAGAATAATGCAGGTGTAACTTTTTTGGTTTTTTGTTTGTTTTGTTTTTCATTTTGTTTTCGGGTTTTTTTTTTTTTTTTTTTTTTTTGGTTTGTTTGCTTGCTTGCTTTGAAGTTAAGGGAATGTGAATTAAATTGTAGAATTCATTAGCCGAGATTCTGAAGCCAATCTGAGAACTTCTGTAATGCCATTCTATGCTAGCCTTCTCTTTCCAGGTGCTATTTGATCCGTTACTGTGGGATTTCCTCCACAGTTCTACTTCACGTCCCTTCGGCGGGGACATTACTTTTGAGTAGCACTTTTCTATAATGAAGGCACGGCTAGTTCTAGTTTGGTGCATTACAGATTAATATAGTGATTTGTGGAAAGGGAGAGGATTTTTTTCTTACGTTAACTAAACTATGTTGTTAACTTAATTATATTCATCTATAGTGCATAATAGACGTGATAAAAAGTTTTTCAAGGAGCAGTTTATTGTCTGTTGTATGTAACTGCTTTCTACCTGATTGGTGTGACTATGAAGAAATATGTCTCAGACTCCTAGGCAAGGTAGGCTGGAGATAAGTGTAGGAAATGGTAGATTGAAAAGAATCCTGAATTTTATCTTCATAATATCTTTGAGGTGCAAGATAAAAATCCAAGTCAGGAAAAGTCAGAGAAACAGACTGTGAGTTCAGAGCTAAGCTATCTTAACATTGTAAAGGTGTTCAGCATGTCAGAGACCTCGCTACTGTTTTCCCCATTATCTGCAGTGATATCTTTGCAGGCCTGGCCAGTTGGTTTTCCAGCATGGTGGAGGTATGACAAGGATAAAGAAAACACTAACCTGAGAATTGGAAATGCCAAGTCCTGGTGTTTCACAATGCCCATGCTCTAATCTCCTCTCTCAAGATAACCACTCCTCTTTCCATGACAGTTTTAAATAATTTCGAAAAACTAGTTGATTTTAGAATGGGTAGATATGGAGAACATTTGCCATCCCACACTTCACCTCCTTCCAGTGTTTACCTGCTTGGTGATCTGTAGCTATGGGCCTGCTAATAGCCTCATCTGAACCTAGGAACATGAGATATCACATTTTCCCATAAGTGGGGTGCTACTGCAGGATAAGTCTCTTCCTTATGCTTTCTTGCCTTATGGAGATACACGGTTGATTTACAAACTGTGAACTAGACAAAATATCAAAATTACATTAGTTTCTCCAGCTCTTATTATTTTAAAATGTGGAAGTTCTGTTTTAAAACAAATATGCAAAAACATGCATTTAATAGTGAGAGTACATCTGAAAATTTAAATGGCTAATGGAATCTTGGAGACCACTTTGTTCTGTAGGAGTGTGAGGAAGCTCTTAGTCCATACTGCAAAAGTTTGTTGCCACAAAACACTGATGGCAGGGGGGTCAATTTTATAATGAGATTGGGGCTGAGATTTATCACATGATCAGCATTCATTAAGTGAGAGAGAATCTTGTCCAGTTTTGCTACATAAAGAGTGCTCTGAAGAATTGAGTCTGTCCTGACTAATGAAACCATTCATGGCTAAAATTGAAGACAATATGGATTTTTTTCCCTTCTGGTATTTCTTTCATAAAATGAAGAAACATTTTCTCTGTTTTTCATAAATTCACTTTAAACATTTTTAATGGATTAAATTATTCCTGAGACAGGTTTTGCTTGAAATGGCCTCAAACTTGCATTCATCCACTGGCCTTTGCCTCCTCAGTATGCACCATGCACCACAGAGTATTCGACATGAGTATGTACCATGGAGAATGCACCATAGAGTATGCGCTGTGAGTATGCACCATGGAGTATGTGCCATGCCTTGTTGAAGTTATAGTTTTGTTAAGCAACAAAACATGGCAGTGACTCAGCGTTGACACACTGTTCAAGGTTGTGCCTAGAAGGCCTTTTCAATTCTCAGGAGAGCTTAGTGATATTTCAGTGATGGCTGTCCCTTCACAACTGTAGGAGGAGCTAAGGTGGGAGGAGTAAAGAGAGGAAGAGGGAAGAGGAGGAGCTAGGAGAAGGAGAGGAATGAGAGAGAGGGGAACATGGAGGCGGATATTCACATATCTCTAGCAGTCAAAGGTAGTTGGTATATCTAGGTTGGGTATTGTGTTACACCTTTGATTGAATGGGCATCTTGTTATTGATCATTACCAAATATATAAAGCCTTTGGATAATCTAAGCATTAGAGTCTCATTTGTACCAAGCCCATGTGGTTGGCAGGATGGTCTGGGCAATGCCCAGCCTAGCAGAGACAGCGTGGAAGATTGGCAGAGCCATCTCTCACTCTGGCATCTTGTGGGTGGCAGGGCTGGTGTTTCTGGCTGGCCGTTTCTGGCTGTGGTGCGCATGTGGCATGTGGCCTCTGGCCATGGAACATGGGGGCTGAGCTAGGCAGAGCCGCTGCAGCTTAGTCAGCATGACCAGAGGCCATTTCAAATAATTACTTCAACAACTCCCTTGCTTATGGTTGGAGTAGAAAGGCTAGTGTGAAAATGACACTTATTCCAGTCAATGCATGACTTCTTGAGTTGTGTAACTAGCAAAAGAATAAGAGTGAAATTTTTGGTTTACCTTAAGTTCATTGAAAAGGTTATTTAAATAAAAGTTCAACTGAGGGATCTGTTTGGGGAAAATAGCCTTTTAAAGAAAGGACAGAAGACTTGGCATTTATGATGTCAAGACACCAGTGCTGGGTCTGGTCCCTGTAAAATAACCTTACATGACAGAGACAAGCACGCATGTATTTTAAAGAAAATTGTGAGAATACATAACATTGTGTCCTTATTTCATATGATTGTAAGCAGTACTTTTGACCTACGCATTTTATCGTCCTCGCCTTTACATGGGATAATGAGATTTACTCTTAGAAAACGGGACTTGTCTATTTCAAAACGTATTTCAAGATTCTCTTTGTTCGCTTATATTTGACATTTCCATGTTTCCTCATTTAAAGAGGGTAAACTTAAGCTCATTCCTGTTCAGCACAAATTTTTAAAATTTAGTATAAATACCCAGTAAAGATAAACTGTAGCAATACATTAACACTGTAGCTTCATTAACATAGTGGCCAGACTCTGAAGGAATAAGAGCACATGGAATTAAGTGCAAAAAGCACACAGGCCAAACAAACAATTGTGTTGAGTGATGTTTAATCCTAGATGGAAGCATGTTGAGAGGTGGGACTTTAAGTGAGTGCCCAGAGGCTGCAGGAATTTGCATCTTAAAGTCCCCACAGGCCTGTATTCTAAAAAGACAGTCAATAGTGCATTTAAAGGCTGCTTTTCTTTTTCTTTCCTTCTTTGTTTTGTTTGTTTTGTGTTGCTTTATTATCTGACTACTAAGGTAAGAGCCTAACTAATATCTTGGTACATCTGGAGAAGCATCTGTAGAAGGTGCACCCTCACGGCTGGACATACTATCACAAGGAATCAGTATTCTCTGCTTGACTCCACTGGAACCTCTTCAGTCTATCACATTCTTGTGCATGTGTGTTTCAAGATTAATCATTCCTGTTCCAGCTTCTCCTCTCTGTCTTCAAGCATTTTTCATTTCTTCTGAATGGTTGTCATAGCTAAGACCTTCTGATGCAGAAACTGGTTTTCATTTCCGTGTCACTCACAGTTAAATAACACTTTGTTTAGCCTTCCTGTGGCAAGATCAATGTGCTTAGCTCTTTTGTACATTTCTTATTTTCCTTCCATTATTCCTCCAATCTATACTTCAGGGATTGATTGAACTTAATATACTTCTTTAATTGTTTCTTATCTTTTTCAGATGACTTTTTCAGAAGTTGTTAATTTTTTTCCCTGCATTCTGTCTTACTCTATCTCTTAAATTTGAATTTTTATGTACAAGCCTCAGATTGGACAGTTCTCCCCACAGTTGAGCCTTTGAAACTTCTAGCTCTAATTTTGTTTCTTTTGATTCTGAAAGTTCTTTATTTAGTAGTTTCCCTTTCTCATGGGCCATCAATAGACTGTTATATTTCTTGTCACTTTTTATGATGCATCCTTTTTCCATAAAAAAAATAAATCTCCCTTCAATATGTTGCGAAGGTCACTGTATAAGTAGAACATGTAAAAATAGCCACGTGGGGCTGGAGAATTTACTCTGTGGTTGAGTACTTGTTGCATGTGCAGTGGACCAGGGTTCAGTTTCCAGCACCTGCATGATGTTTTGCAACCAGCAATAACTCCAGTTCCAGGGGTTCTGATGCTGACTTTTTACCTCTACAGGCACCAGTCACACACAGAGCACACATAGATACATACATGTAGGCAAAACATGAATACACACAAAATAAATCTTTATAAATCTTTATAAAAATGTAAAAGATAGCTGCTTAATATATTTGCTGTAAGCCTTAAATCTACTTTTGGTTCAATATCTTATTTTTTATAATTTCCTCAAATTGGATAAAAACCTCTCTCTTCTGACCAACGTCTTAAGAGCAGGTGCAGGTCAAAATGTACCCTTGTTGCAGTTCAGGGCACAGTGCCCTGGGCTTTTGAGAGCTCTCTTCCTCAGTCAGAATTAATCTATCCTCATATTTTGTATGTCCTAATTTCATTTAGGGCATTAAAATGTGGTATAATGTTCAATTTTAAAGGTAAATTAATAAACAGAAGTACACCCTGAAAATGATAATTAAAACCATAGATGAAACCTCAAATTTTCTGGAAGTATGTGAGGAAAATATTTTTAAAAACACTGATTTAGTTCATTAGGACCCATTGTATCAGGGAACTACTGGCTAGAGGAAACAGTAT